GTAATTTCTTTATAAATTTCTTCTTTTCACTCCCGGAACTTGATTTAAACCTATATCTTTATGAAGTAAAAAAAAGTCAACGGGGATGAAAAAAAAGTATTTAGGATACGGATATATTTGAGTGTTAACGACGAAAGACTTAAAAATGAAATTTTACTTTTTAGTGCTTTACAATGTTTATTATTTTTATTTTTTTTACATTTTTTTATTTTTGTTTTTTTACACTTTTTTTCTATTTTTTTTCATTATTTTTATTTTTTTAGTAACAATTCTGGTACATTATTAAATTTAAATAATTTCCGATTAAGGTTTTTATATTTAAATATTTGTTTTCATGTCCAGTTTTTATATTTTCATATTCAAATATTTATGCTAACGACAAAATGAATTAATTAATTAATGAAATTTTAAAATCAATTGATAAAGCATGATGGATAACTGTAATTTCTAGGCCACTTGATCAAGGTGCTTATACATGTGAAGCTATTAATGTCAAAGGTCGGGTATTAGCTACACCGGATTGTATTGTTCGTATTGTTAATATCCCGGCCCCGGAAGCGCAGTCACAGTGCAATGTAATTGGTTCTGTAAGTCCAGTTTCGGATCATACGGGTCGTTGTCAATGTAAGGTTAGTTTTTTCGTTCAGATTATTTAAGGCTTTATTAAACATAAAATTAAACTATCATTATAGCACAAATATATAAACTGGATATATATATATATATATATATGTTTACTACAAATAGAGATATTTTATCTAAAATTTTTGACCCCAAAAAAAAAGAACTTTACAAGTTTTTTGATATTTCTATTTTCGCTTACTTTTCTCATTTTCTTTTTTTTCAGCCATTGGTAGTAGGTTCAAAATGTGATTCGTGTAGTCGTGGTGCATATCATTTGCATGAAAAAGCGCCACAAGGTTGTTTCAAATGTTTCTGTTTTGGTATCACCGATCAATGTCAATCATCCTCATGGTATCGGACAAAGGTAAGTTAAATTTAAACTTTGGAAATAATTGTTATCATCATTTCCAATTATTCAGTAAATACTTTATTCTTTTTTTTTTAAATTTTTCAAAAGAGAAACGGACAAACGCATTTTTAATTTTAGCTAAATTTTTGCTTAAAAAATTGATTAGAAAATTAAAAAGAAAAATGTTAGAAGAAAACTTGGAAAATTAATTCACTAAAAGGGGTTTGATGAAACTATGATTAAAGCAATCCGAATTGTTGCATTTTTCTTTTTTTCTTTTCTTTGCGATGGATTGTTTTGACAAATAAAAGGAATTGGAAGAAAAATTTTGTGAATTTTTTAAACAAAAATTTTGTGAATTTTTTAAACTAAATTGCAAGAATATGCGAGTGTTCTGATTAGCTTATCGACTTACTGAAAATGACAAGAAGTAGCAAAAGTCATCTTTCTGATAATTTTTGATGGTGAAAATAGTTCCTTTATAATCTTTAGTCAATAATTTGATAATCTGTTTCAGATAAGAGTTAAATAGTAGCATGATTGATAAAGAGTAGATCAGTATGTTGATAAGAATATGTAATATGGTAATGAGTAACGATATAGGTATGACGGTGGAAATAAATTGTATGGTTTGTTGTGGTAATGATTAGTGTGCTGACAATGGTAGGACGATGATGATGATGATGATGATAATGATGAAGTAATTTGCTGAAATAGTTGTTAAAGAGAAGATGAGTATGTTAATAAAGATGTGTCAGTCTGGTATGAAGCAATATTGTGAAGCAAATGATTAAACAATATTATGATTGGATTATAAATAAATTTGAATTATCGTTAATCAATCATCTTATTTTACGTTTTCATTTCAGAATATTGGTTGCGTAAGTTTCATTAATTATTATTACGCACTATTTGGTGTGTCAATTTGCCAAATTGCACTTTTTCTAGTGAAATTTGCTGAAATTATTTAAAGTTCAAATATTTGTTGAATCTAACTGCAATATAGTTCACTTTCAATAAATGCCGTTATATATTTGCAGATAATAATAAACTGCATAGTTTACTCCCACACGTCACTTGCTGTGCTTATTTTGCTGAATTGCAGTTTTTTTTTTTCATCAGTGAAATCTTCTGATTTCTTTCTTATAAAAAGTTCAAGTAACTTTCGAATGTTTTTTTTTGATTTCCTTGGAGGAAGAAGAAATGAGTATTTAAATTTTTTAAAAAAAAATCAGAAAATTTCACTAAAAATTATCATCGATCCCTGAATGATTAGGTGACTTTTAATGACATTTACAGAATTAATTAATTATGCAGATAATGAGTGGATAAGTTTCTTGATAAATCTGTACAAATTGAAACGGGAATAGAATTGCCTTTTAAATTTTTATATTTTAAAGTTCAAGTTTTAAACTAATGTGAAAAAGTTAGCGAACACTTTTAGGAGTAAGATTTATTCCATTGTTTTCTTTGTCTAATTAAGCTAAGGTCAAACTGTTTAAGCTACAAACTAAACTATGTAAATAATATGTACATTTTGTTTAAATAATTTTCTCCTGATTTCATTAGTCACTCGCAGACATAACTTTTTTCTAATGAAATGAACTAGAGATAGTAACATAGAAATCATTTCATTCATAAATCTTTTAAAATCCAACAAATATTGCTTCAATTTTTCTGTGATTTTGAGAGAGAGAAGAAAAGTGGGGGATATTTATATTTATGGGGATTTGTATCACTTTTTTATTTTCTAATTTGCAAAAATAAAAAGAAAAAAATTCCTTGCATTGTAGAGCTAGAAGTCAATTTATAATGCACTCTGCTCTTAATCTTTTTTTTCACAAATTTTTAATTTTATTTACTGTTCGCTTGGCACACAAAAATTTAATGTATTATATTTAAAACTTATCACTTTTGTTTTTCTTTTGGAATATATTCCGTCCCAGTTTCTTTAAAAGTTTTCATAAATTTTGAAAATTTTTATCTTTTTATATCTTAAGGATAAGCTCATTTTGAATGGCGATTCACGAGGTGTTCAAATATCAGATATCAATGGACAAGTGCATAGTTCACAGTTCGATTACAGTAAACCTGGAATGGTAACATATAGCGAACCATCCTATCAAACAATGTATTGGAAATTACCATCACGTTTCCTTGGAAATAAGGTTTAGTTTAAAATTTAATTATCCTAATTTTTTATAGTGTATGCAAAGTTTCCGTAGTTTAAAAATTCCAAATGTTATGAAAAATTAATGCTTAAGTTCTAAAAGAGATTTAAATTTTAGTAAACTAAATAATTTAAATTATGCGAGTGAGAAAAACATTCAAAATTTCACTCTATAACATGAAAGTATTATATTTTTTCAATATTTTATTAGTTCATATATCGTGTAAAGCAAATTTTAATATTTTACATGCAAATATGACGTCTTTTTAACCTTTCTAAAGTAAAATTAAAATTTAATTCTCCTTTTTTCCGAATAATATATTGCTGTTTCATTTGCAGCTAACAGCTTACGGTGGTGAGCTTGCATTTGATATACAATATTCATGCACAGGATCTGTAAGTAGTGAACCACTTATTGTCCTGAAAGTAAGTATTTCTGTTGACAATTTATTTTAAACTGTAATTAATTTTATTAACATATCTATAGGAAAAAAAAACGATCAACCGGGTGGGATAAGTTATCAAAAAGGTAAAGGCTTTGATTAATCTTAAAGATAAAGGAAGCATTTGATATTTAAATAATCGAACTCATTACGAACAAATACTAATTGATTTCGATAACTTAATAATTGTCACATGGATTACTTTACTAGTTATTGGATTTTGAGCAGGCTAAATTATTCGAAACTGAAAACTATCAACAGAATGGATTTTACAAATTGCTAATGTAAAAATGGAGGTGGTGCATAAAGTCAGTTAAATTTATGGTGAAGCTGATATGATAACTAAAAAAGAATGTTTATAATATAGTAATTGATATAATCGATGAAAGATGTTGATTTTATGATAACTGATACTGTACATCAAAGATATGTCATAGCAGTTAATGTACTAGATGATCTACGTTTATATTTCAGGGTAACGGTATAACATTGGTGCATCGTCCACGCGACACGCATATTTTTGCTTCGGATAAAACGATTCGATATACTGTCGATACATTTGAAGTAAGTTTTTTCCATTCGTTTTTTTTTTCTCTATATAACCTTAGACAGTATTACTTTCTCACATTTGTTAGCTTTTCATCACATGATAATTTTCTCATCGAGAAAATTGTTTAAATATCAGTGCTTTTTTTTTGAAACAACTAAGGATAATTCTACGAATACAACTTCATCTTTTATCATCACCAATAAAGTAATTAATTATTTATAGTCACTTCACCAAAATAATTCTATGAATAAAACTTATCTTTTACTAGCAATAAAGTACTTAATTGTTTATAATCACTTCACCAAAAATAATTCCACGAATACAATTTCATCTTTTATCATTATCATCATTTGTCTTTATATTTGACATTTTTAATTAGATTTAATTAGTTGAAATAAATTTCTCCCCTTTTAGGGAAAAGATTGTTTTTTTTGAGAAGGAATGATTTTATTATTTACAGGTAAATTTTGAAGAATTAGATGGACGACCGGCAACACGAGAAAAGTTGATGATGGTTTTAGCTAATGTAGAAATGTTGTTAATTCGCGCCACACATTGTTATGGACAACAGTATACGAGGTTATTCCTGTATCCATTATTCTCATCTAAAATTTAATTCTTCGAAATTTGAATATTAATTTGTTATTTAATTAAAGTACATATGTATACTTTTTTATGCTGAAATATATTAAGATAAGTGTCACAATTTTTAGACTATTAATTAGTTTTATTGAAAGAAGAAAAAAAGACTTGTCAATTATGCTGCAGGCTTGGTGATATTACTTGGGAAATAGCAGTTGACCGTGATACGCAAGAAAGATTTGCTTTAGAAGTAGAACATTGTTCTTGCCCACCAGGTTTGCTCTTCAGAATGTTTAATTTTATCAATTGATGCGCAAATCGTTCTTTATCGATTTAGTGCACAAATCATCCTTTATCGATTTGATGCGCAGTAATTTCAAGCAACTATTTTCTCTTCTCAATGAATTCACTTCAAGCTAATCTTTAATTATTTGATGAATAAAATTAATTGACACATTTTATTTGTAATATATCCTATACATATGAGTTAATCGTTTTATTGAATGTATAAAAATTGTATGGAATGGATTTCAATTATTGGCATCAATTTTTAACTTCACGAAGTATACTTTAGTAATTTATTTTATTCATTTTTTTAGGATATACTGGATTATCATGTGAAGATTGCGCACCAGGATATGAACGGTCATCACAAGGTTCATATCTTGGTACATGTGTACCAGTTCAATATCGTGCACAATGTTCGCCAGCTGGTGCACGTAGTGCACATCCTGGTTATGATGGTAAATGTCAGTGCAAAATGTATGCTATAGGTACATTGTGTGACCGTTGTCCATCCAATACTTTTCATTTATCAGCACGAAATCCACAAGGTTGCATTCCATGCTTCTGCTCCGGAGTAACTCAACAATGCACCTCTGCTACTAGCTACCATAGAATTCAGGCGGTTATCGATTATAGACGAGGTGCTACCGACCAATTGGAAATTACTACCAGCGATGCACACACTCCATTTACGTATGTATCGTAATCTAATCAATTTTCTTTTCCTTTACAAACAAAATGATTCGAAAAATTTATCAGGTACTTAGGAAATGATATTTTGGAATCGAATGGATAATTTTAAGATACTTCCAAATATAGTACTCGAAATGAATAAATGGTTGAGGAGAAATAAGGAAAAATTCTACAATATTTATATATGACTATTAAATATTATCATTATCATTATCACATTACAATAAATGATATCCTGAACGAATGAATATTGCAATAGAACGAGAGTTCTGTTTTACTCAGTTATGTCGTAGTACCACTTTTTGATATTAGTGCAGGTAAAAATATAATTCCTGTATGATTATTCATTCCAACAATATAATATTATAATTATCATTATCACAATACAATAAGTGATATCTTGAATAATAAATTGAAGACTACTGCAGTAGGAGGATTTTATTTTATTTACTTATATCATAGTATCAGTTTTGATTTCTGATCTTCTTGTTGTCAATGCAGATAAGCAACATTTTGATTCCTGATACAGCTGATATATTGATATGAATACAATGATAAATGATGATGTATATTTGCAGACCTCAATCACAAGCACAAATAACAGGACGTGATATAACATTTTCATCATTCTATGAAATACCAGGACAAACATTGTATTGGAAAATGCCAAAACAATTCCTTGGTAATAAAGTTACCAGTTATGGTGGTAAATTAAAATATATCTTTCGTTATTCTGGTTCTGGGCCATTAAATATTGACGCAGATGTGATCTTACGAGTATGCTATTTTATTTTCATCGTTTCATTCCCATTCTTTTTTTCCGTTATGATATTAAACAAAGAAATAATATACAAATTTTCTAAATATATTTATTTTGTAATTATAAAGTTACGGAACGAATAAATTTAATTATAAAGTGAAATTAATTTAAGAAGATCAATAAACATATGTGCACATACTTTCGAATAACATTATTTATACGTTATTTAATAACTATTAAATAACATATAAATAAGATTCGAAAAAAAGCAAAAAATCAGTAATTAAGTAAGGCTTGAAAAAATGATTTTAATAAAGCAGTTAAGTGAGAAAAATAGAGTTTGAAACAATAACTTCAGTTAGGCAATTAAATGAAATACGAGATTTAAAGTCGTAACTTCAATCAAGCAAATAAGTGAGCGAAACAGGGTTTGAAACATTGAGTTTAATAAGTAGTCAAGTGGAGAAAAAGTCTTATAAGCGTATTATTTAAATTAATGTGTATTATTAGAATCCATCTTATAAGTGTATTATTTAAACTAGTGACTCATAATGTTTATTTTTTGCATGAGTAAATCATGCTTAAATGTTTTGTTTATAAATTGTAGTTGAAAGAAATATAGTCTTGAAAAAAAAAAAACTTTGATCGATTACTTTCTCTTTCTTTTTCTTGCTTATTTAATTAATTTTAGGGTAATGATATTACATTACAATATACGAATCATCAACCACTTTATGCAGATCGTGAAAATGTCATTGAAGTAGATCTGTTCGAAGATCATTGGCAACGTACGGATGGACAATTAGCCACACGTGAACATCTATTAATGGCATTAGCTGATCTTGATACTTTGTTAATTAAAATGAGTTATATGGATGGATGTTCATCATCATCATTAATTAGTGTTTCATTAGATTATGCCGAACCATATGCCACAGGTGGTGAAATTGCTTACGAAGTAAGTTGAAATCATTAAACTTTTTTTTTCAAACTCTATTTATTTTGTAATTTTATAAAATATGCTGTGAAGATAAGGTATTATGTCATTTATCAAACTAAACTATCAGGTCATTGTTTCATCCGATGAGTCTGAATTTTACAAATGGAAATTGTTTCATTTCATAAATTTTATTTACATATTGCAATCGTTTTTTTCATATTTGAAATAATTGATAAAATGATAAGGTAATGATTAGAATCGGAAGCGATACAATAAAAATTTCATTGTGAAAATTTTTGAACATTTCCTATTTGAATTATATCTATTTTCCAAGGCTACTTTTTATAAAAACGAATGTATTATACAAAAAAAGATTGAAATAAGCATATTTTAAGGTTGAACAGTGTCAATGTCCGCCTGGTTACATTGGTACATCTTGCGAAGATTGTGCACCCGGATATTCTCGTACCGGTGGTGGATTATACTTGGGTCTCTGTGAACGTTGTGAATGCCATGGACATGCTTCACAATGTGACAAAGTTTGTTTATTCATTTATTTTTTCTTTAATTCAAATTTGACAAGTAAAAGAAAAATTATTAGTCTAATTGGTATATTCATATTTGAAAATATAAGCAACAATGTTTCGTATCGTACTTTTTTCCAATAGATCACACCATACTTTTCCTAGTAGACCATATCGTATCTTTTCACAGTAGATCATACCATACTTACCACCAGACCATACCATGCATCTACCAGATCATATCATACCTTTCCCAGTAAGCCATACCTACTTTTTTCCAGTAATCCGTACGTACTGTACTTGTCTCCAGATCGGTAAATTTCTTTGAAATCTTAAATGCAAAGAAAAAGAAATTTTAAAAATTAATTCTTCATGTCCTTCTTGTTAGGAACATGGATTCTGCATTGATTGCCAGCATAATACGGAAGGTGATCAATGTGAACGTTGTAAACCGGGATTTACCGGGGATGCTCGTCGAGGTACTCCACATGATTGTCAACCGGCAGCAACAAGACCTGCATGTATGTGTAATAATCACTCACCCAGAGGATGTGATTCATTTGGTCGATGTTTGGTTGGTTTTTTAAAAAAAGAAGAGAAATCAGATGGTTTCAAAATTCGATATATCTTATTAGTCGAGTGAAGCAAAGTAAACAATGAAATCTTCGCTAAACCTTGTTGATTAAATAAAACAATGAAATCAAGGGCTAGAATTTATTGATTTTTAAGTTAATTAATTGGAATTACTTTGCCGGAAACTAATAAAAATAATTCGGCTAAAAGTTAGTAATCTAATATATCTTATCAATCGAATGAAGCAAAGTAAGTATTGAAATCACCGCTGAGGTCTATTAAATTAAAAATTAGTATTTATTAACTTTTGGATTAATTAGTTGAAGTCATATTACCAAAAAATTTTAAAATATAATTATTGTGATTGCTAAAAGGGTTTAAATTCTAGCTATGTGAGCATAATACTGAAGGTTATCATTGTGAACAATGCAAACGTGGATTTTATGGTGATGCAATACGTGGTACTCCATTTGACTGTACACCTTGTCCATGCCCGTAAGTTTACGCTCTGTTCGTTATATTGCGCTTTTTTCTTTCCTTTTTTTTTTAAAAAATCAGAATAGGAAATAATCAAATTCCGAGATATGGAAAATATTTCAGAGGTGCATCAGATTGCTTCTTAGATGCCTATGGTCAAGTACAATGTCGTAATTGTCCAGCTGGTTTAACCGGACGTCTATGTGAGGAGTAAGTTAATTGAATTTTGTAGATTTTGACTTCAAATCGGATAAAATTGTCCTTGATATTAGTTTGCTCAATTTTTTTTAATTAGTTTCAATTATGCTTTTCTGTTTCTGATAAATTTAATTATATCTAATAATATGAAATAACCTGATAATATTAAAGGTTAATTTGATAAAATAACTTAATATATTAAGTTTTTTATTTTTTTTTCTTCCTTCAAACGAATTTTTTTTTCGTAGATGTGCACCAGGTTATACACGTTCACGTTCACGAGCACGTATTGATGAAGGACGTACATGTGAACCAATTGGACATGTAGAAGAAACAAATATCGTATTCGTACCAACACCTGAAGGTGATCCTATACGTGGCCAACGTTTTCGCTGGCAGCGTAATCGCTTACAGCGAAATCATCCTTATTATATTCTACGCAAATTATATCATTGAACAAAATTTCATGAATTTTTCTTTCGTATAAATTTTTTCTTTAGAGATTTAAACTTTTCAATTAAACCTTTCAATTTCCAATTTTGCATCCTTCAATTTTTTTTTTTTTTTTTTTTTTATTTCTCAATTATTTATACTCAACTTATGTGCTCGTATCTGACACTGTTTTATTTTTGCCTGTATTCTTTTGTTTTTTTTTGCTTTTTTTATTTTCACAAAGACATAAACACAGAGATTATTAAGCCAATATACACTTTTCTCACAATTTCACTTCAAAATTTAAATTGTTCTTAAAATTTACACAAATTTCACTGATCTTCTTATCCATCCAATCATTAATTTCGCATAAAATAATCTAAATTTTTCTTCGAATAATATTTATTCGAAAATTGAAACTTTTGAATTTTGAATAACTTTTGAGTGATATGATTAATATTTTATCAATAATTGTAAGTATGAACACTATCTAATTTGCAAAAATATTTTTTCTTTTTATAAATATTTGAATATATCACATTTAACAACAATTAATACTTACTGACTGAACCTCTGATGATGGAATTCCGTCGAAGTAAAAAAGAAAAAGAAAAAAACAAAAGAAAAGCTTATGGTCCTAGTCATTCATTTATTGCTATTCCATCTGGTTTTAAAAATTTTTGTTAGCTATAAATTTTTTCAAATTTGATTGGCTAGCATCTATAACTAGTTGGCTAGTATTTATGGTAGTAATATCTTCTTTGGTTTGCTTTAAAGTTCCAAAAAAAGATATCACCTATCTTCAAGAATTGCTGAATTATTCATAAATTAATAATTGAAATGTTTGAAATAGATTTCATAAAAAGATTTTTTTTAAATTAAATTTGGGAAATTTAAAATTCTGATAGCGAAGAAATTTCAAATTTCTTCTTTATTCTATCTTGCTTCACTTACAAAAATATGATATTTGTCATTACTACTACATATGAAAGAAAAAACGATACTGCGAATTAGTAAATATAAAAAGGAATTATTAATTATTACATTCCTTTTTTTCCCCCTTGTTTTTTTTCCATTCAAATGAGAATGCTCAGCATTTATCACTGCTTATCACGATGACATACTTGTTGTCCGGTTCGTCTGTCTATTTTTTCCCTTTTATAATTATCCATAATTAATTTGTCACTATTGTTATAAACTAACAGTTTTTGCAATTAAACGAATGAAATTATAGGTATAGCTGACAATGTAAACTTTTTTGAAAACAAATTTTATGATGTGAAATCTAAATTAATCAAAGACAATTCCGAAAAATTCTATATTTTTTTCATTATTAAATTTTCAGAGTTGTTAGTTTAATCTAGCTTTTAGATTGTAAACTTCACAAATTATCATGATTTAGTAGTAGATTACGAAATGTTACTGGATTAGATGAAATAATTTTCAAATGTTTTATAGCATGAATGAGTTAAAAGATAAATTCGGAAATAGGTTAATAATAAAGTACTTTCGAATGTTCGGATCAAACTTTAAGTCCATTTATGATTTCATATTTATGGATTTGAATGAGAATACTTTCCAGACTGTTTTAACTAATTAGTTTATCTTAAAGATATACATCTAATCATATTTATAATTTTGTTTCGCAATTAATTTAATTTTAAAATGGTTTAAATATCGATCACAACGCATGCACGCATAGACAGACATACACATACACATATGAAGCATGCTAAACTTTGACTAATTTTTCACAATATTTGAACTATTTTAAATATACACGCATGTTTCATTATTTAATTTTCAATTAATTAATTAGTCGCCCTGTAAATAATGGCACATTTGCATGCACTCTATTGATAATTATAACAATTTGGAAATTTCAGAAATATATCCTAAGTAGTTTATCTGATTTCCGGAATACGTTTATGAAAAGAACAGGGGAAAAATTCACTGAATTTATTGTTTCAGCATATGGTCCACCAATACGTGTACAAATCGATCCTCCGAAAAATTTGCATGTCCCGGTTGGCGGTAGAGCTCGTTGGTACTGCCGGATTATTGGACAACGGGTATCAATCCTCTATTGTTTTCAACTTTAAAATTTATCTTTTTTTTTATTTTTTTCTTTCCATAAACAAATCATATGGGTTTGATTGGTACATTAGCAAGTTTAGTTAATTAGCTAATTAACTTTTAAATTAGTTAATTAATTCATTGATTAGTATTCGTAATTTCGACTGTGTTGACATGTATCAGCGTTTGGTGATTTCGAGTGATGGTGAGAAATTTGAACGATTACTTTTTTTATTGATAGTATTTCCATTTATGGATAAAATAACTCTTCCAATTTGTAGGCTTTTTTAAAATCTATCTTTTGACAGTTTACAAATTATTCATAAACTACTATATTAGTCTAAAAATTATATGTTTCGATTTGTTATATCTCTTTGAGATGAATAATTTTTTTTTTTTGATTTGAAAAAGTAAAAATAAAATTTCAAATAACAAAAAGGTAACTTCTCGTCTTGTATCACTGATAGGGAATGAATAATGATAAATTTAATGTCTAAATTCTAATTAAAATAATCAAAAGATATTAGGTCATTTCTTGTGCATAAAAATGATAAATGGTATTCAATGATGATTAAAAATCATTTTCGAATCCTCTTTCTTCTCAGAAATTTTTGAGAAAAAATTTAAATTTATTACTTGATTAATCAAAATTTCAAGTGAATATATTTAATTATTGATTAATTCTTATTGATCTTTTATTTATTTTTCAACCTTACAATAACTTATTTTCATAAAGCGATTAAGCAAATTGACATATATACACTTTGAAAATGTATGCATGGAAATTTTTCTAAATTTTTTTTTCAATCCGAAGAGTGGTAATATATTGAGTATCATCGAAAAAAAAAATTTTATCAAAATGTATATATGTTGCTGCATGAAGAGTACATGACACTATGCAATAATTAGCATACACCAATTAAATTTATTCATAACCTTAGTATCTATACTGTCATTTTTTTAAAAAAATTCCTTATATGATTTCCATTTTTTTTATTATCACAGTTAAGTTAGACAATAAATTAGAAAGGTAATTTTAAGAGTGCTGGAATTCGATTACAATGGTCAAAAGTTGGTACTGCTGGATTGCCAAGTAATGCCGCTCAATATGATGGTGAATTAGTTATTGATGGTGTGCAAGAAACTGATGCTGGTCAATATCGTTGTACCGCATCTGGTGATCATCAATTTGCAACCGATGATGCTACACTAACTGTTGAACCAAAACCACGTATACCAGGTTTTATTTTGATGTTGTTATTTCGATATGCATGAATTATACTGATTGATAATAGATTGATGCTAAACCTGAAATTATGCATTTCGTTTAATTAGCAATAATTCAAACTACATAATTCTAGTTAAGCATAGATCCTGTATTTGTGTGCTCTTGATATATTTGAAGTTAACGATAAGATTCATGTAAGATTGCAATATTAAGCAAAATTTACACTTCCGATATAGATTCATGCATTTCATTTCTTTGAGATATTTGAAGTTAGCGTAAGATTCACGCATAGTATTCATATCAGGTTTTGAAATTATGCATGATTCATCCTTCGACATTATTTATGCTTTCTGCACTGTATTAAATTATTTAATGAGAAAATTTTCCATAAATTTTATTAATAAAAGAATACATGATTATCTAGTTGAACTATTCTTGTTTTATTTAAACTTATTGCGGATAATTTTTTTTTTCTCAAACAAATCAAATATTCAAATAATAAATTCGTCTCAGCTTATTTTTTAACTTAATCATTTAGAAGCTTATTTCTTTTTTCTCATTTCTTTCTTTCGGTTGCAAATAAATTTATCCTGCTTATTTCCGTGAATGTAATATTTTCATCTCTTTCCTTTTCTGCCACCAATAATTTATTCTTATTTTAAAATTTTGAAAAATCACGAAAAAAATTCAAAATTTAGTTATTGGTAGACCGCCACCAGTAATGGTTGAACCATTGGAGCAAACAGTAAATGTTAATGATATGGTTACATATCGTTGTTGGGTACCTGGATTATTATCATGTGAACTTAAATGGTACAAGGAAGATATGGGAGAAGGATTACCACATGGTGTTTATCAAACTGATGATGGTACATTGAAAATACCTCATGCGCAATTGGAACATGCTGGCAATTATATTTGTACCGCTTCTAATGAATATGGTGTTGGTAAATCACCACCTGCACGTTTAATTGTTAAGCAACGTAAGTGTAAATTGAATGATAAGGATAGTGATATTTTTTCGTTCAACTTTTATTGTTAATGAGGAATATTTTTTATTTTTTTTTTAAATTATTATCATCGAATATGATCATGTAAAAATTATCTTTCAATAAGTTTATAACTCTTATGCCATTTCTAAAACTATTGATAATTAATACGTAGAAATAATTAGTTAGTGTTAGTCTTATTTGGGGTTATTTTTTTTTTTGTTCTAAATTTTGTTAGATGAATTATTAGGGTTAATAGGAAGCGAAATAATTTGTAGTTTAGTAAATTTATTTGCATGAAGCTTTTTTTTTTCGCTGTCACTGTTGCATGCATTCTTGACGGTTTTGCTGTAGTGAGGATTCTTTATTTTAGCGCTATATTAACAATGAACTTGAAATAGTAAGCGAAAAAAAAGGCACATTTACAGCACCGCAACGACCTAGAGTTGATCCGCAAGAGAATATAGTTGCGGAAGGTGAATCTGCACGTTTCCGTTGCTGGGTACCTGGTGATCCAACAGCAATTTTAACATGGAAAATGAAAGGTAATGGTCCATTACCACCTGGTGTTCAGCAACGTGAAGGCATCTTGAATATCCCAAATGCACAACGTCAACATGCGGGAAGTTACATCTGTACCGCAAGTGATCCAGCAGGATATAAGTCACCAATAGATAGTCCTGTAGCCAAATTAATCGTGAGACCAGGTAAGTATTCATGCATCAATCTTTTTTGCTATTAATTTCACGAAGAATTATTACTTTGTTAAGAAAATTATCACTCGTTATCACATTGCTTCTCGTTGCCAGTTTACTGCAATTCTAAAGTTATGTTATTATAATGATAAATAATGAGCTTTGGTTATCGTACTAAATTATCATCATAACTCATCGGGAAAGAAGATGCCAAATTTCCAAAATATTTATGGTATTTGAACAATCAATTGTTATATTGTCAGTTACGGATGATTTTATTATTTATTGATTCCAGATATTCGTAAATTGAACTTTCTTTTTTTTTTGTTTTAGCGCCAACTAAACCATTGGTAGATCCACCGGAGCAAACAGTAAAAGAGAATCAACCAGCTCAATTTCGTTGTTGGGTTCCCGGTAATCCGGCAGCAATCCTTCATTGGCGACGTGTTGATGGTCGTCCATTAGGATATGGAGTAAGTGATAGACAGGGAATTTTATCCATATCTCGTGCTCAAATGTCGGATGCCGGTGAATATATCTGTTCCGCACGTGATGTTGAAGATGGAGTACCTGTTGATTCATCTCCAGCACGATTAGATGTTCAAAGACGTAAGTTCACGCATCAATCTCATAAATGCAATTATTTTATTTTAAGTATTTTAAAGAAAATATTTTGATTTAACTGATCATAAACTCAAACTTTATTATATTTATTTGAAATTCAACAGTTTTTATTAATATTTGTATTGGAGAATTGATATATTCTCTCCGTATCTTCTGTTGACAAATTTATTTTCATACTTAATTCGACAAAAAAAAAAAACAAAAATCCGAAATTTCAATTTCATGAATTGAAGTGGATTTTCTAAAAGGAAAAAGTTCACCAAAAGAAAAAACAAACGAATGCTACTACTACTACTACTACTACTTGCAAAAAACAAATTTATTTGCCTTTACTATTAATCGAATATAATTTGAATCACGCAATTCACGTTTATCGTTATCACGTAGTTTTTTTTTTCATTATCTTACAGGTTTTTCTCCCACATTTTCACGCACATTTCAGGTTTTCATGCACTTTTTTTTTCCCTTCTAAAACATCCACATCTGCTGACATATGTTTTCTTTTCTCTTTTACCTTTAAAAAATTTATTTTTTAATCCATGCACTTTGTTGTTTTTTGTCGCACATCAAAAATTACTTTTTTTCCCTTTTTTTTTTTTTTTTTTGTAAGATTATGAATCACCAATTGAACATTCATGGACGCAACCAACATTGGAAAGTTTCCAAAAACCACAGGTTGATCCAGAGCATCAAATGGTCTATGAAGGTGATCCGGCTATGTTCCGTTGTTGGATTCCATCAAATCCAACGGCACGTTTAAAATGGTCTAGAGCAGATGGTACACCATTACCAAATAGTGCATATGATGATGGTACTGGTACATTGTACTATCTAAGAGCTCATGTATCAGATAGTGATTTCTACGTTTGCTCACTTATTGGTCCAAATGATGTTCCATTGATGGAATCAGATTCGGTTCAATTAAAAGTAATACCACATGGAAGAAAGGAAATTACGAAACGTAATTTTCTATATCAAGTTTTTTTTTTCTAATTAATTTAATTGAAGCACTAATAACATCTAACAATTGCAATAATCGTATAAATAATATGTGTCCCACAAAAAAAAACGATAATATGTGTTCCACAAAAAGAAAAAAAAACTTTTTTTTCCCCTCGCAAATTCTAATAAAATAAACTCTTTGGTGATATTTGCATGTAAAACTAATTTGAATAGGGAAAAAAAACGACGGTGAAGTTTTATTTTTGCACAAATTTAATTTTTTATCTTTTTTTCTTAAAAAAAAATTTATCTGTTATGAAATATTTCTAATTTGCGTATTAGTAAAAATCAATGGAGTTTTTTCTTTTTTTATGATATCTAGTAGTTGTTTTTAGTTGCTTTTTTTTTTTTACTTTCAGATGCTTACCTTTCAGATGTTTTAAAACTGATTCAAATTTATTTATTAGGATTTTTTTAAAGCTATATTCACTTTATTAGGAATTTCTTTTTCGAATTTTTTCTTTTCTAATTACCTCATATGTCGAAATATAAGTTATAATTCGTTCATATGTTGAATCATAAGTTGGCAATCACAAATTAATTGAAAAAAAATATATGTGTAAGGAAAGGAATTATGCAAACTTGAATTATAAAGAAGGGAGAAAGGATTAGAGGTTGAAGAGATAGTGATGAAAAATCTTGTCTTAATGAGCTTTATAACTTTAGGTAACAAAGATTTCAAGGTGTTCAAAAAAGGAAAAATTTTAAGATATGATGATTACAGGTATTAGTTAGTTAAAATATCCTAAATACTGGCAGATAAAATTTAAGGTCTTGTAATTATTTAGGTGTCACTTAGGTTAATTTAAATGTAGGCAAATTCAGATATTACTTAGGTTATATTGTATATTAGCAAGCAAAGTTTAAGATATTGTGATTATTTCAAAAAAAAAAAATTCGAAAAAAAAATTATTTTGAAAAAAACATATTCAAAATTATAACTGGAAACAAATATCACTTATGCTTTGTCAAAATTTACAATAATTTGAAGTTAATTTTGAAAAAAAAAATTGATAATATGTAAATTTACGATGATTAATTATTTTTACTTTTTTTTTTTTCATATTCTAGTAGAAGTACCTCGTGCAACACCAACAGTTGATCCAATCGAACAAACTGTTGAAGAGGGTAATCCATCACAGATTCATTGTTTTGTACCTGATGAACCTTCTGCTGTACTAAAATGGCGAAAACAAGATGGTGAATTACCAGTTGGAGCAACTCAAAGTGATGGAATTTTATATATTCCGCAAACAGAAAGCCATGATGCTGGAAGTTATATTTGTACTATGGATGATTTTCGTGGTACACCAATTGATTCTGTCCCAGCACGTATTCATGTCACACAGCGTATGTTATACTTTATTATTATGTAGGAATTACTGTTATTAAATTTTCCTATATTTATGAAATTTATAAAAGACAGTTAAATATTGCAAGTAAGGATTGAATATTGTAATAAGGATATTGGTAAATGAATATTATAAGTATACAAAGAGAATTGGATATGATAAGTAAGAATATTGTAAGCAATGAATATTATAAATAAGAAGTAATTGTAAATAAAAAACAATATTATTGTAAGAGTTAATGAAAAAGAAAAAGAAAGAAAAAGCTACGAAATTAAAATGAAGAGAAAATTGAAAAAATTAGTAGCAAGTGTTTTTCAATTAATTTAATATTAATTAATATTTCAATTTAATCTTTTTTTATAATTTTTACAAATTTGTTTTTCTTTTCTGCTAACTGTTTGTTATAGAAAAAAACAAAAAGTTTAACTAACGCTAAATTAGCTTTATTAATATTTGCAATCTAACATTTTTATAATTTTTTTTTTAATTTGAAATATTTCACTTTTTTGTTTTGTGTTAATTGACTTTTTTTTACACTTAATTCATTAAATTAACGGAAAATTTGAATTTCTGTTGAATAGAATTTAAAAAAAAAAAAGAAAGCGTTGTAGAAGGGAAAATACCGCTTGTTCTTCCGACATCATTAACGGTCAACAAAGGTGATTTGGTACGTTTCCAATGTTATATACCGGGTAAACATACGCAATCGCTTCGTTGGGGATTCAAAGATCAAAATGGACCATTACCTGAGGGAGCATATGTATATTATGGGGTTTTAACAATTGATAAAGCTCGTATAACGGATACTGGAAAGTATATTTGTACGTATGATGAAACATCACAAAGTGCTATACCAGTAATCTTAACGGTGAAAAGTAATGGAGGTGATGGTAAAGTACAAGAACTAGAAAGTATACATGATATTGATGAATATAATAATCATATGGAACAACAACAACAACAACAACAACAACAACAACAACAACAATATGAATACCATGATAATGAACATGGAACAATGGATGAAAGTGTAACTAATGAATATGATGAAAATGGCAATAATAATGCTAACAGAAATAATCATCATGAAGATGGTGATAATCATGAATATTATAATAACAATCATATTATTGAATACGGTAACTGCTTGTGGTTTTTTTTTCTTTTTTTACTTTTTCACTTTTTTTTTCGTTCATTTAATATTAACATATCTTTCATTATTTATTTATTCAATTAAACAAAATTTCTAATTAAAATTTTCTTAAAATTTTTCAGTTTTTTAAATTTTCAACAATTTAATATTCAATTGTTTTCAACATTTAACAATTTAGTATTCAACTGTTTTCAATATTTAGCAAATTTAATATTTGAATTAAATCTAATTTTAAAGTTGGGATTGAATAAGTGAAGTAATTTTTTTTTTCATTTTTATTTTTTACTAATATAAAGTGTTCATAACATTAGCAAATTATTAATACAGCACTAAACACTGATAAATTTTAATTTTTGTCAAATTTAATTTATGTCGAATTTGTTTCTTGTTGAATTTTTAGTTTAATGTTTGTCGAAAATTTAATTTTTGTCGAGTCTCTTTCTGCTTTTTATTTTATGCTTAACTTCTTCATTACTAAATATATTTCTAATTCAGATTACTTATTGCAACATTTTATCGTTGAATAATTTCTACAAGAATTGTCGTAACTGAATGAATTTCAGTATTCGAAATTTTACAAATAACTGTTCTAATTTTTGACTTAATAATTAAAATTTCAAATGCATAGTTTATGTTTCAATAAGGAAGTATTAGTTTGATTACAGGTGGTAAACCACCACGACCTGTTGCAACACCAAGCGATCAGGTTGTTAAAGTTGGTGAAATAGCACGATTCCATTGTGATCCAAATAGTGATACACCCGTAACTGTTCATTGGGGATTTGAAACTCCCGATGGTTCATTACGAGGTGATGTGGTACCGGATGATAATGATTTGATCATCCGTGCAGCTGATCATTCACATGCTGGTGAATACATCTGTACTGCAACCAATCAATATGGTTCTGCTGAAGCTGAACCTGTTCGACTTCATGTTACCGAAAGTACGTCATTCAGTCAATAGTTGAGATGTAGAATAGGGAGTGAGCAGCATCCAAAACTGATTTTTTTGGCAAAAATGGTTTTTTTTTTCTAGGAGAAGAAGCGCCAACAGCACGTGTGGTACCACGTGTTTGGAATGGACAACCTGGTGATAAGCATCAATTCCAATGCATTACAACCGGTTCTCCGGAACCAACTATAATCTGGACCGGACCAAATGGTGAAGCATTACCGGAAGATGTTACTGATATTGGCGGTGGTTTCTTGGATTTCCAAAATGCCCGAACTGATATGAATGGTGATTATACGTGTACAGCGACTAATATTGTTGGTGAGGCTAGTGATCATGGATCTGTAAATATTGGTCCTTCACTTACCGTACGTACTAGTCCACCTGGACCGCGAATAGTTCTAACAGCAGGTGAACCACTGGAGGTTAAATGTGAAGCATTTGGTGAACCGGAACCGGAAGTTGAATGGTTACAGTAAGGAAATTTCATAAATTTATTTAACGATAGTTTAATCTTATCCTTTTTTTGTTTGATTTTCGATCAATAAATAGTTTCTTGTTAATATCAACGAGAAAAAAAAGATGAATGAAATTGTTTTAAATTCCTTCATCCAATTCACTTTTAATTTGTTTTTAATTTATTGGATGATGTATTTTGTAGTGATCCTGGACCAGAGCGAGGTGATCTTCCGGATGATTTTAAACCGGTAACAATTTCGGAACAATTCATTCGACATCCGAGTATTGGACTTGGTAATGCTGGTGTATATACGTGCCGAGGTAGCAATATTCAAGCTTCAGCTAAGAAGGATATTTACATCGAAGGTATTATAATTATACTTTGTTTGAGTTTAGCTGAATTCGAAATAGGTCAATTTAGTTTTTTTAAAAAATGTTTCATTATCATTTAATATCTTCAACTTTAATATACAATACCTTAAATCAGAAATTAATCAATATTTGCACGTATCATATACGTGTAAGAAAAACTTTGCTTAATTTATTCCTGAGAAATTTTCAACAAATATTTTCTTTTCAGTTGTAGCATTAATAGCATTGTGATTTAATTAAATTTAGCAACTAAAACTTAACATTTCTCCTTGTTTTAATTTCATTACAATTTTTGAAAATTGTTTATAAACTATAAGGTTGAACTTTAATTTAAAGTTAATAATAAACATACAAATGTTGTTTAATTAATTGTCTAATATTACAGTTGTGGAACCATCGAAAGTAGCAACAGTTGCAATCCTTGGTGGTTCAACACAATGGTTTGAGCCTGGTAGATCAGCTGATTTGATATGTGCTGCAACGGGTAGTGAAATTGTTGATCGTATTCAATGGGTCAAAGTTGATGGTGCATTACCGGACACTGCTAAAGAAACGAAATTTGGAATTTTACATCTATCTAAATTTAGGGTAAGACAATTAATGATTCAAAATGTACAGTCCATTTTTTCGTTTAAGTGCAAATATTTATCGAAAAATTCTTTTTTTTTTCCTATAAGGGCATAGATTAAATTTCAACTTCTTGTCTTCTTTTTACGAGAAGTCGCGAAGTAGTAATTAATTCATTCCTAACTAATTGCCGTACTTTTGCCGTATTTTTCTCAGTTAAGATAGTATAAATTTTAAGATGATTAAAAATCAATACAGTACATTTATTAAAAACTATTTACTTGAATATTTGTTCCAATTCTATAAACTAGCTAAATTTAAGTGAAAAATTTTTGAATGAAAATTGTTTACCCATACATTTTACTGCTTTGAAATTTACTAGTCAATATTAATCATTAAATTGTACCAATTTATTTTCCTTGGTAATTTCATTTATCACTTATCAGGATTACTAAATTTCAAAAAATTTAATTAATGAGCAACAAGTCATGATTAATTAATAAATGGCATTTTTTGTTAAAATATCAACCTGTCATCCTTTCATTTATTGCAAAATTTGGTCTTTGCTATTTATTCCATGAAATGATTATTATCAATGATAATAATCGTTTTATAGAATAATTCTACGAATTATTTATATTAATATTTTTGTTAATATCGAAATTCAGGAAAAAAATCAAGCTAATTTCTTTTTTTTTGTTTTTGTAGAAATCAGATAGCGGTGAATATGAATGTCGCGGATACCGTCACAATGAATTAGTGGGAAGTAATCGTGTTGCAGTATATGCGACAAATTTAGCACCGTTGGATACAATACGAGTAGAAATTGATTCTCCCGCTGTTCGGGTTATTGATCAGGGTGAATCTATAAAGCTTACATGTACAGTTGAAGGCAAGTTTTTTCGAAATTTTAAATTTCATCAATTCACTGCTTTAAAATATTGTCATTTTGTTGAAAGATTTTAAAAGTATTTTAACAACTTTGGAAAAAGTAAAACAAGGAAAAAATTTGCGAGAAATTAAATTTTTTAAGTGAAGAAACAAACAAATTTTGTTTTTTTCCTTGAAAGAAAGAAACTTCTTTTTTTTTTACTTTTATTATTTTGTATTCTATCAGTATTTTACGTGTGCACAAGTGGCAAAATAATTAACTGTAATTGTTCTAAATGATTCAGCTTATAAAACTTTTTATTCACATATTACTAATTACACTAATGTGCTCTAGTTAATTAACAAACTTAACAGTGATAACGGAATGGTAAATACTGATGAATTTCATATTCCTAAAATTTAATTTTAAAATTTGCTTAAATTAGAAAATTATCTAAAATTTAAAAGAATTTGTAGCTAAAAATGGCAAGTAAATATGTGTATCACATTTTTGCATGCTTTTTGCATATTTTTACGTCTCCATAAATAAATGAAATTCTCACATTGAATAGTTTTAAATAATTTTTTTTTTGCTAACTGTTTCCACCAAATTTTCTGTAAAATTTAAATTTCAGGAAAATCCAATAATTTCAGTTTCATGGATCCCATAACCTTATTTTTTAAATGATAATTTACTCTAAAAATTTCACATAAATTTCATTTGGCAGAGATAACTTTGAAGAAATTAACAATTTTTCATAAGTTTTATCAAATTTTACCAAAGTAACAAATTTCAAATAAAAGAAAAAGCAAAATTTACTTTTATTTTTTATCTTATCAATAGTAAATTAAATGCATATTATTGCTACTATTATTATTATTACTATTATTATTATTATTATTATTATTATTATTATTATTATTATTATTATTATTATTATTATTATTATTATTATTATTATTATTATTATTATTATTATTATTATTATTATTATTATTATTATTATTATTATTATTATTATTATTATTATTATTATTATTATT